TTCTTTCTTAGTGAGCACCTAGAAGCCAAAAACAACATACATGCCAAATTTCAAGTTTGTAGGCTTTACAGTTCTGGAGATTTCATGATGATGCATGAGTGGTATTTCACTTTTATACACACACTTAATCACACCTAATCACACTGCACACAGCTTAACCAGAAATATGTACTTGAGCAAAACAAATAAAAACAATTTTAACTTGTAATGTAAAAGACTGCAATTCTTGAGGTTATACAAATATATTTTAAGAAGATATTTCAAAAAGTGGAAGGGCGGTTTCTAATATTTTATGCATATATGCTTCTTTGATAGGCCAGCAAGTTTCAAAACAGGGCACAAATTCAAGCAGGTTTCACTAGTCCTACATTACACCAATTTTGATGAATAAATGTGGGCTGTCTATTGCCTTCCTATCTCAAATTAAGATATTGTTATTATAAGTGATTAAAGTCCTAAACACCTAATTGAGCCCCTTTAAGAGACAGAGGTGAGGGTTAGGGTTATTATTTTGATGCATAATATATGCATAATATTTTAAAGGGGAAAAGACCAAGAATATGAACCTTGAATCAGATTTTAAAGTTAGGCAGGTTTATATTTGAGAAGGGCCTATATACTAGTAACTGGTCCATATGTATTTAGTTTAATTGATGTTAACAGAGCAAAAAATGTACTTTGAATAGTGTATTTTGGTTTAAGTTGCTGAAATCTGAACCATTCGAAATCTTCAGTGATAGCATTGATATTAATTAAATATCACTAGACTAGAACAAATATGGAAAGATCATATGTATCCATGAGAAGATAAACGAGAAACCAGAATTATTTCCATAAGAATATAGAAATGTAATGTGGTTACTATTAAACTTTTTAATTTAAAGGAACGTTGGGCAAACTAAACCAATTTCTGATTAAGCCATTTAATACGCTTCTGCTGCTGTGCAATTGGAATTCAACATTGTATTGTGTATTTGCCCAGTTTAGAAAAAGGCAAAAAAAACAACCCCACATATCAAGATAGATATAGTACTATTCTGGTAATTAAAAACCCATTTATTTGCACAATGTTGCTATATGTGTGTGTAGAAAATGCATATACAAACATACACAGGATCTTATCATGAACCTGATTTTGATTGTTATGTTGATTGAAGTATTACTATACTGTCATAATTGAATGGTTTTACATCTTAAAGGCTTACATGGACACACAATATAATTGATAAGCATCATCCAAATAATCCAAATTACATTGTATATTTAATGGAATTTATTGCTTTAAGATGTGAAAATAATTAATGTCTTAGAATGTAGTCCTAGCTACATGATATTGATTTCTTAAGAATCAAGAATTAAGTCTATATAGTGGTCTCCCCATTAGATTTTTGGAAAGGGACTAGATTCTGAGAGGCCCAAGTCAAGAAGAAAGCTGCTCAAATTAAAGCAGAATAAAATTGATTTAAGTTTGAAGCAAATGCTTTGCAAAAGAATCATAAACAGCTATTACCAACTTCCTCTTGCTCAACCATTCTGATGGCATCCAGGTGTACTTTCTTCCACCAATAAGCACTGGCAAGAGGCAAAAACTCAGAGATTAACCATTCCTGGCAAACTGCTCCATTGCTTCTTCGATATGCCAGCAAGTTTCAAAACAGGGCACAAATTCAAGCATGTTTCACTAGTCCTACATTACACCAATTTTGATGAACAAATGTGGGCTGTCTATTGCCTTCCCATCTCAAATTAAGATATTGTTATTATAAGTGATTAGAGATTGAGATAAGATTTGTTTTATTTATATGCCGCCCTATTCCCAACGGGACTCAGGGCGGCGAACAACTCAAGGGGGAAAGGGAACACAAAATACAATACAAGCAATTAAAATAGCCAACAAACACACAGGTCGAGAGGGGAAGGGAACTCATCAACCCCAGGCCTGCCGACACAGCCAGGTTTTAACGGCTTTTGGGAAGGCATGGAGAGAGGTGAGGGTCCAAATCTCTGCGGGGAGTTCGTTCCAGAGGGCTGCCACAGAGAAGGCCCTCCCCCGGGTAGTAGCCAGAT